GCTTCATGCCAAAAGGAAGTTTTCCTTCCTTCTCTGACCTCAACTCTATAAAACTGTTTTGCAAAATCTCTACACTTCAAAATCTTCTTCCACATCCAGGATCCATTTTGTGTACTGTCTCGTACTGTCAAGATAGAGCCTTTCCTAATAAAGTATTTCTTAATCCAACTAACCCACAAAGAATGAGAAGATACAATCCTCCAAATCAACTTGAGGCAACTAACCAGATTGACTTCCCTCAAAGGCATAACTCCCAAGCCACCCTCATGTTTTGTTTTGCAAATCTCATTCCAAGCAATCTTATTCTTCTTACCATTAAGCTCCGGGCCAGACCAAAGAAAAGCATAACATAATCTTTCTATTTCTCTGATACATGCAATTTCTGCCACTTCTCATAAGCCACAACTTCATCTCGGATTGCTTCAACAGTTGGGTTTTTCTAAGGTTTCCTTATGCTTCGAACACAAGTCTTTGTAAGCTTCTCTGGCTCTCTTAGGCAGCTCTCCCAGTTTAGCTTTACTAAGCGTTCTTAATGGCTGTTTTAAAGCCTTCAGACGTTTTGTAAGACGAAACATAGCGGACGTAGAGTGTAATAAGGATTCATAATCTCTCCATTGATCTTTCATTACCATCTTAAATTCCGGCATTTTTGATGTCACATTAGAGAATTTAAACAGTTTTCTCTTTATCCTCTCCTCCCTAAATGAATCCTACACCTCAAGTGGTCCGAACAACCTCCAGATTCAAAGACACAATAAGCTGGTTGATTGTGTAGCCATTCTTCATTTACTAAGACTCTATCCAACTTCTTACAAATCAATCCATCATCCCTCTTATTACACCAAGTAAAGTGAGGCCCTTGATATCCCAAATCTGTTAACTTGCAATATCTAGTAACCACTTGAAAGTCCCTCATACCCTGCGGTAGTCTTGGAGATCCTTCGAAACCTGAGTGTTCCTCCCCTTCCAGAATCTCATTATAATCACCTATCAACATCCATTTTTTATTCTTGAAAATAGGAGCATCATAGTGACTCCTTAAATCTTCCCATAAACTTTTTCTCTACTCCATAGTATTAGAAACATATAAAAAAAGAGCAGAAGAATTCTTCCTCCTTCCCTGGTAAAAGTACTGAACATGTAATGAGTTGAGCACTTTTATATATAGGACTCATTCTTACTGATTGCTTCCAGACAACCCACAAACGGCCTAACTGGTTATACTCATAATTCGATATAATATTCCATCCATTAAATACCTCCCCTACTATATTTTATGCTTTCTTTTCCTTAACTCTTGTGTCTACCAGACAACCAAACTGAATAGACTGCTCCCGTATTCAATTCTTCACCACTGCATGCTTAGTAGATATATTGAATCCTCTAATATTCCAGAAAAATCCCGTCATGAAATATTTTTTCTAGGACCCTTTCTCTTAGCTCCTAACGCTTTATCTTTTGTATCTTCTGTAATTCTCAAAACCTCCTCATCCTCACTATCCATATCCTCCTTTTCCTTTTCACTACCCAAATCTTCCTTATAATCTCCTTCCTTAGACACAATCTCCTCTCCATTTTCTCCCGCATTACTTAAAACTGCAAACCGAGAAGGGGTAGGTAGCAATCAACACTTGTTCATCTTTCAAATTCTGTTGAGGACTTCGGCCAGCTTTTTCTAGTGAGACTCTTTTCCAATCATCCATTTACTTCCCATTCATGACAGAAGAATCGCCTTTATACTCCATATTTTCCTCTCTATAATTCATTTTCCTCTCACACTTCCTATTATATTATCCTTTTGTTTTCCATTGATCTTCTCAACCTCATCCCCAGTACCTACACTTCTTTGATCCATATCATCCCTCTTATCCGCACTCGAATCTTGAGTGCTTCTCAACAATACTTCAGACATATTTCCCTCTTCCTCAGTTTGTTTCTTATTCTTGCAGAAAGTATCATAGTGACCCCACTTCGACGGATGCCATGGATAGATGAAGTTCACCACAGTCTCTTTCCCTTGAATACTGAAGGTGATCTTTTGTGGTAGCTCGTTCGTTAATTCTGCCAATACAAAGACTTTCGCTATATCAAATTTTGAACAAGCTATAGTCTCTGGATGTAAATTGTCATGAACCCCCGCTGCACTCGTAATAAAGCTAAACCCCTCCCAAGAATACATACTCATAGGAACATTCGTCAAATGAACCCACAAAGGCAACAAATTAGCTTTCAACGTGTCCTCCTTTGGAGACCATTTCGTAACTTCCATTGGTACTCTTACTATGTTCCACATCCTCTTCGCACAACTTTATCCCTTATCAGAGCACTAGTGATTCTGACTCTCATTGTTGTTGAATATATCTCATAGACATCCAACTTCTGAGTTTTATCACCAAACGCCCAAATCATATTCAAAATGACATGTATCTTCGCGATGTGAGGAGCTGTGTCCAGAAACTTCGCGATTACGAAGTCATCTCAGAGAGGATTAGCTTTCTTGATGATATCTGAAGGTACATCCACCGATTGTTTCCCATCTGTAACCGATATGTCAAAATCATACTTCGTCAGAACCTGTTTCTTCTTCGCCACCGAGACCCAAGACTGCTTCGGAGTAACTAGAGGTGGCGGATCTTCCTTTGCCTCCATCGAACCCATCTCAACTCCCGGAGACGACAGCGGAGATTGAAAAGTGGTGTTCGCATTCTGAGTCGCCAAATCGCCTTTGTTACCAAAACGGTCAAAAATTTCTCTTTACACAGAAGCTGACAAGTTTTGCCAAGTGATCTCCCATGTGGAAGTGGCTGCCTCAAAGGTACAGCCATAACTGTTGTGGTTCTTGCTGCTGAAAATTTTATTGAAGCTGCACCTATATGTCAAATCCAATAACCAAAGATTTAAATCACTAAGAGAGAAAAAACACCTAGGACAATAAGTAGAGATAATTTAGTTAGTTAAAAGGCTTAAAGCCTTGAAATCTGTTTTTAGCAGAAAATCTTATATATAATAGTATACTTTCAAGGCTTCTCACGGTGTACATGTCAGCATTTTGTAGGTCATGCACGTTTAATTTTTAAACGCCTATAGATTTTTTAAAATGATAATGAACAATGAATACGCTTTAGCCGAGTGGTTATTAGGCATCTAGTTAAGTGTGCAAGCTTGCGGGTTCAAACTACGCAGCTGTTATGTATTTTAGTTTTTTTTCCGTTTGGGTTATTATCATATGGGCTTTTTGGTTTTAATGTTTTTTTTTTCTCTAGGCTTATTTTTTAAAGCCCAAAATAGTGGGAAAATCTTAAAGTGTAACGAACTCAAACCCAAAAACAATTAAAACATAGATCAAAAAAATAAACAGCCAAAAAAAAACAAAAAAAAACGAGTCCCACGCGGCACTATCATGTCCTAATATATATTTTCTATTAAAACATATTTCTAATTATATTTTTTAAAAATTATGTATGTGAAATAAAATAAAAAACAACAAAATTTAAGTATTTTCCGTTATTTATAAAATGAATATGTAATTTCTCTTATATTTTTAATAGTTACTATAATTTCATTTTTATCAGACTCCGGCGAATGAATTCCCACAGTCGATGACACTGTAAATAAAAATACCACATTATTCATGAAAAAAATCCAAACTTACAAAAAAAACATATCCAAACCTATCTAATGAAACCCAAACAACAAATATTAGCTTAAACTAAAGTTATTTTCAAATTGATAAATCGTTTAATACAAATATAAATACTATAAATAAATAATTATATCAAATTTTGACCTCTGACATAAAAACTATTTACAGCATAAAATAAAATAAAAAACAAGATAGACACCTATTTCTACCCACTAGAAACTATATTATAGTTTAATTATTCCTATAAACCAATATTTTTAAACCCGACCCGAACACTGAACCAGACGACTTACCGGATCATTGGGTCACTGGGTCAACCGCGGGTTAATAAATGAAACTTTATTATATGATAATATATTAGCTATGAAAATAAAAATATAGAAACTAAAGTTACATATTTTCTAAATGTTTTTAAAACATAAAATATATAATTAAATATACATAATATCAAAAATAGTTTAGACTATTTCAATTTTTTTTATAACAAGTTAAGAGTAATGACATCTAAAAATATCAAGATATAAACTCATAAATATTTAAATGTCTAATTAGAATAATAAATTAAACTTCAAATCCAAAGTAAACCAAAAGTAAAACATCATTGTAATAAATTATCAATAACAAAAATAAACTAACACCAAATCACATCAACTAATTTTGGTTCTCGCTACCACATTTCAGTTCATTTACTTCAGGTGGTATAATAAAATCTTCATCAAAATCTAAAAATCACAGATAAAATAGTGTATTTAGTATTATGTATGATAAAAAGTCAAAAAGTTTAATCTAAATTTAAAGAAGAAGACAACAATGCCAATAACTAAAACTTGAAAACCTAACTTTTAAATTAGAAATTTATAATATAAAACAGAATAAAAACATAATTTAAAACTAAAAAAATGTAAAAGTATATTTTATTGGTTCAACCAGTGGTTCAACCGGTATTGGGTTTTGGTGGGTTTTTGCGGGTTTTTAAATTTTGGGTTTTTAACAAAACTCAAACCAGATTTATTTTGAGTCACCGGGTTTACCGGTTCAATCGCGGATCAGAGTCGAGTTTTAAAACACTGCTATAAATCTTACTTCGCATATAAATAACATTTAACACATTATATATACAATATTTTCACTTTACACTCTTGCTACATTCTTTCCATTTCATCATTATTTGGTATCACACTAAACCAACAACCGAAAAACACATGCAAATATCAATGATCACAGCTCCGCGCTTGCGCGGGGGATATGCAACTAGTTACTCAAATATTACAGATTGATATTGAGAAATATTTTCTCATCTTGAGAATTATGAATCATCTTTTTGTTAGTCTTTTTTTACCAAAACGCCAATGAAGTATTATAACAACCTTTTCCATTAAACTGATGTAATACATGATACAATATCTGCGTTTGAGATGGGGGAAATGAATAGATGTAGAAATGCAACCAGAAGAATCTATCAAGTATGATCAAGTTTATTTTTTTGATAGACAAAAAAAGAATGGTAAAGATCCCTTGACGAGGGAGCACATTAGCATTTGTCTTCCTCACTCTCTATTGTGCTCGCATAGAATCGCTGCAGGCTTTGTCTAGACTAACAAGTGAAGGAAGATAGTGGACCAAACAGTGAGGGCAAGAATCGCAATCAAGTATGTCCAGAGCATGAGCACTGAGCACTCGTCTTGTCCAACATTATACAGCTGTGTCATGGTACCTGTAGGAGTTTTATTTGCAAACATGTCATTCCTTGGATTGGTTTCTATAGATCTACATAAACTCAGCTACTAATGATTTATTAACTGACCGATATTCATGGCTGGAGGCAGTGTAAACTGAAGCATTAAAACATACTGAAACAGAGGATCAGCTGGGAGAAACCCAAAACTCTCAGCTGATTTGACAATGCCTATGCCAATGATAGGGAGAATAATGTACCGAACACAAACTATTCCAAGAACAACCACTGGTTTGACTGCCGAAGAACGTAAACCTGATCAATTTGAACCATAGTATAAGGTTAGAGATCACATGAGTGACGAAACCAATATTATATGTTGTGGTTTCATTACAAGGATATTATGTGCTTGGCCCAGAACCTCCTGATAATCTAAAAGAAAAAATATGAGCCGCTGATAGGAATTCATTTTACCTTGTATGAGGTTCCCTCCTAGTATAATTGTCATACAAGGAATGGTTCCATCGCTGCACAATAGGTTAAGTTAGTAACTTAAGATGCATATGTATGCAAATGGTCCAGGAGGTTTACTAAAGACAAGATTGTGGTAACTACCCAAGAAGTTTTGCTGTGGCCTGGACTATTCTTAAAGGAGCATCATCACCAATGATAAGATTTCTGAGCCATGTAACAGCACCGAATATGAAACCAATAATCTGAAAAGGCATCAAACATTTACATATTATTTTTTACTTCATTTCATACTTGGTATATTATTGAGTGCTAGACTGTGAATGTAACTTACTGCACCAACTGTAGGTGGTGCGCGAAGCTCCTCCAATATCTCATGGAGGAAGTCTACTACTTTCCTCCAGAACCCTGTCTCTTCTTTTACCATCTCCGCTTCAGGTGCACCTAGAAGTTTGGTCTTGTGGTCAGCCTCTAAGTCACCATTGGATGATTTGATTGATGTTTTCTCGGATTCTATCTCTTTGAATTTCATTGCCGACCCTTTTATAAGCCGGAATGTGTAAGTCCATATGTAGAAACCCCCTAGCTGCACAAATGAGAATCATTCTTTTACTTATCATTTTTCCTCATCTAATGTCTCTGTTTTGGTTTGTTAACATTACATACCGCCATGGAGAAAGATGCGTAAGAGAGCCCCACGGTTCTGCATACACTCCTGTTACCAAATGGACTCTTGTCCTCGTCGCATATTGCTGGGACAAGTATTATTGGTAGATTCCCCATATTTCCTATTAAACCAAAGTTGAGTTTTACCATGAGAACAAATACAATAAATATTGATTCATAGTAGGGTAAAAATAAACAAATATAATTTGTCACATACCTGAGGAACAAGTTGCAACAATAAGACCTTCAAGATACGGAGGCGGTTTCAGAATCTTAACAACCATCCAACCAAGAAGTCCTCCGATTAAGAATGTAAGTCCCATGTTAACCGGCATAAACCACCTTTTATTTCAATCAATAAACAATTACATGCAGTTGAACATTTTGTTACCATGATTTAGAAAAGGGTAAAAAGATTTTTCTTACCATGAGATCATGTCCTGAAGTGTGACCGTCTGGGCTAGATTTGCAAACATGAGAGCTGGGGCAAATATTACAAACACCACCTACAATTTTGTGGAAAAAAAAAATCATTATATAAAAACACACACAATCTTGATTCTTTGATATATAACTTTGCAGAGATCCAAGCATGGGTCAAGATTAGTTTTTACCTTGTTCATGGAATTGCGGGCTTCAGCGGGAAAGAGCTTGCATCGATCAGTGGCCAAGTAAGCTCCAACAAGACTTATGACGAGGACTTGAATCACTGGCATAGAAGCCACCTCCAACAATGACCAAAACCCCATATCTTATGAAATTTTTAATGGACTAAGGGATTACTATGAGTCAGGCTCTTGGATCTTGTTTCTCTTCTTCTTCTGCACTTAATCTGCAGAGAAAATTTTAAGAATAAGGTCCTGAGAAGAGAGCAAAGGTATTTGGTAAGCACATATTTCCATTGACATATATGTAAATATATATACATATATATTTACTTACTCGTAAATGTCTGACTCCAACGTAAGTGGTGATAATTAAGTTTAATATTCATAAAACATGCCAGAGTTTTGAGTCTTTTGAGCCCCATGTCATTGGAGAAATAGAAGAAGCTTCTGCCCAAGTTGTAACTAAAATACTTTTATTACCATTCTGGTGCGATTTTTTTTTTCTGAAAAAAATGTGAATTTGTTTTGTTTTGACATACACGGATACACCTATTAAATATTCTACAATCTGCTATATTGTATTTATATATTTAATATTTTACTATTCAGCTATATTGTATTCTATATACTTTTCCATTTTGATGTGAATTTGTTTTGACAAAGTTCTGGACATTTGAACGCAGTTTCGAAGCTGTTGTGTGTTTGACTGACCCTCTTGAGGCTGCTGCGTAAAGTATATGCCATGTATGGTTGAGTAAGCTATTTACAAATTACAACTAGATGGAATCTAATTTCTTGTAATTAACAAATGAAGCATATCAATGGTGGACGTATCTGCAGATTCAGGGGATTATTTGATCTACTTATTTCTTTTTTTTTGTTTGACTAAATTTTTCATTGATCTACTTATTTCACAACACGAATTTCATGCAATTAAATAAAAAGCCCTCCACATACCGAAAAAAAAAAATCTTCAATTACTAAAATGCCAAAAACCTTCGTTAAAAGTAAACCATTATCTGAGTTGAACGATGACATAATTTTAAACGTAAATAAAAAAAATTGGTTAAGGTAAAAAATAACTCACTGTGCCGTTTATAAACGATAAAACAACGTTAACTTTTGCATGAAATATTGATAACCAAAAATTAGTGCGTTGGCTCCCGTCAAGGGTTAAACTGGCAAATAAACTTAGATTGAAAAAAAAAAAAAACTTAGATTGAAAAGGTTTCTCAAAAATAAAAACATAGATTGAAAATAGCTGCTTTTTAATAAACTGGGTTTGGTCTTGTATATTCTTTTGGTATTTGGAGAAGTGTATTTTTGGATATTTTACATATCCAATCTTACCAACATTTATGAATAACAGAAGGGTTGAAACAAAAAATGCTTCCATACTTTAATTAGGATAATAATATTATTACATAGGAAAAGTAATTTATAAAACATCAATAAACTGAATATTCATTTTAAATATAAATAGAAAATTGGTGACTAAACCTTCAAACTTAATATTTGTAAATAGTTTTTTATGGAGAAAAAAATAACACAATACACATGACAAGCATATATTAAAAAAAGTTTAAATTAATATTTTTAGTCGAAATATCTATCATTGAACTTGGACAGGGTAGATAATATGCACCCATATTGGACATGACACATGCATAGATGCATAGTTGATGGATCTAAATTGGTAAGATGTTTTCTCTTACAATTCATATTATGAACTCCTAACAGATCATCACCATCAATTCAATATATCGAAATCGTATCTTAATTATTGGTATTGAATCTCTTAAGCATGAATATTCAAATTTGCAACAAATAACAAGTCTGAAACCGATCCAAAACGTGTAACATGTTGTGTTTATCTCTGATTAAGTCAAATATCAAATAAAAGTAATTTATTATTAATTTTTTTAGCTTTTACCAAAAAAGTAATTCATAGAATTTAAACGTATTTATCAGCTGCCGTTTTTTGCAATCTCTCTATAAAGAAAACTTTGAATCAAAATCCTAACACGACTCCGTTTTACCAGCTTTTCTTAGGACGACTTCGTTTTACCAGCTTTTTTTTTTTGTTTAGAGTCCAAGGAAAGAACACGGGTTACTAAGGAAAAGAAGAAAACAAAAAACAAAAGTACCTGATCCATGCAAGAACACAGAAGAATCGAGTCTTTGCACGAGAAAATACATTACGCAGATGGAAAGAAGAGAGAACGTAATGTTAAAAAAAAAAAGTGAGAGCAATCATTGATGTTAAATTTTTAAAATAAACTAAAAAGGCATATGCATTTCCGTAATTTACGCGTTGTCATATTTCACCAGACAAGAAAGTGAAACAAAATCCAAAGGAGAAAGAGAAAGAGCATCTCCAACCTCAATTTATTTTTACAAAATAGAATCTGAAGTAAAAAGTTCGAATCTATTCTATCTTTCATTTTTAACAGAATAAAAAACAGATTTACTTAATTTATAAAGTATACTAGTTTACTTATTTTAACACTTTATTTTTTATTTTTAAAAATATCGGTGAAGTAAAAACTACTTATTTAACATTTATTCTTTTTTGAAAAGAAAATAAAGTGATTTACAAAAAATAGTCTAAGCCGTATTTATGGTGACAAGACACTTGCAAACAACAACAACGCTAATTTTTTTAATTACTTTTCTTCTTTCCACAGTTGGATAGAAAGACAATCTTCGTTTTTCATCATACAATAATTGAAGGTATATAGTAGGGGTGACACGGATCTGGATATGCAGAAAATTTAAAGTATTCGGATTCGATAAATCCGTGATTTTAGTAATTGAATTTGGATATGTGTCTTCTGAATATCCAGATTTCAGATATTCGTCTAGATATTGTGATATTCGCGGATATCCTGATTTAGATTCGGATTCGGATCGATAAAAATAATTAAAAAATCAAAAATTGTAAACATAATACATAAACTAAATATTTAATCATAGTTTATGAACATATATATGATATATAATATTATTAAAATAAAAATAGAATATTATTAAATTTATTTTATCTATAAATATTAATATATCAGATATAATTAATAAAAAATAAAAAAATTTGATATTTTTAAAATTCGCATCCAAATCCGGATATCTGGACGTAAAAATTCAGATATCCGGATTCGGATTCGGTTTCCATGGATCTGAGATCTTACTATCCGAATTTGGATTCGGACACTCTCGGATATCCTAATCTGGAAGCAGATCTAAAGCGGATCTCAGATCGAATCTGAATCCCGAATAAAAATCTCAGCTCTAGTATATATCATTAAAACTACAGTAGTAAGAAAAATCATTAAAACTACAAAAAGAACTTTTTGTAACTGTAACAAAAAAATTCCTAAAATGAAATAATTTTAAAAAATAAAACTTTAACATGTTATTTAAGTTGTCTGCCGTCTGGCTGCCGGATACTCTCTTGCCATGGTATCCGACGTATTAATTTGAGTATCAGTTTTTTTTTTTTTTTTTGACATCAACAAAACAGACTCAACTAGACTCTGTAAACCAAACCGGGAGCTCCACATCCATGTGCACAACGAAAGACGATAAGACACTTAGAGAGAGAGTTTTCACAACCGAGCTCCACATCCATGTGCACAACAAAACAGACTCAACTAGACTCTGTAAACCAAAACAGACTCAACTAGACGAAACCGGGAGCTGTCATTGTCCTTGGTACATAGATAATTGACGAGCTGTGAAAACTCTCTCTCTAAGTGTCTTAATATCTTCCAGATAATTCGCAAATGCTGGCCATTCATCTGGATCCGAAACCATCGTAACCAACTGTGAACAGTCTGTTGCAAATGTAACTTGATACTGGCGCAGATTCCGCATACTCTCCATTGTCCAGATACGCGCTTCTACCTCTGAATGTAAAGGTGAAATACTTGCTCTTACGTTTCTGGCTCCCATTAAACGTACAAAACCTTCAAGAGTACTATACCAACCATGTCCATCAAACATTCCCTTTGCTTTCCAAGAACCATCAATGAAGCACCACCGCCCTGGAGTCGATGGAACAGTCCCGAGAGCTCCTGTCTGTGCTTCATTCTGAACTATTTTTATTTGTGCCTCCTCCCACAGAGTAGACTCAGTCTCTGCCAACAATAGAGTATCCTTTGGATCAACATCTAAATTACTGAAAGTTTTGCTATTGCGTTCTTTCCAAATGTACCACAATATCCATGCAAAATGATGATCCGCCATCTTAGGAATAACCCGCCAAAGTAAATGATCCATATTCGTAAATAAAGATCCGGAGGGGAAAGTGAGTGGATTCAAAGGAATCTTCGACAAAGCCCATACTTGGCGTGCTGGTGGACAATCAAAAAAGATGTGGTTAACCGATTCCTCTGCAGCACCGCATCGATCGCAACATATATCCCCTTTTATTCCTCTAGTCTGTAAATTTTTCTTAACCGCAATACAACCCGATAGCAGTTGCCATATGAAATGTTTTAGCTTGGGAGGACATCTCAGTTTCCAACAAAAAGCTTTCAAACTATCAACTGTAGGACCTAGAACCTGCTCCGGATTTCCGCTATCTGGATACACCCGTTCAACTTGATAACCTGACTTGACCGTGTATTTCCCATGCTTGGTGAAATGCCATCCATCCCTATCCTCCATTTGTATCCTACTGAGTGGTATACTTTCAATTATTTGAGTATCAGTTATAAATTAAGTATTTGTCTGCATATACAAACATAATATTTTGATAAATACTTATTAATTTATATTTTATTAATTCATAATAAACATAATAAATTACTCCCTCCGTTTCATTTTAATTGTCCTTCTACGTTTTTACACACAGATTAAAGAAACATTTAATTTTACATATTTTCAAAAAAAAAACACAATTCCCTATGCATCTAACCACTTTTCAACCAATAGAAAAATATAATATCATATAAAACTAATAAATTTTGTCTCGAAACTCTAAAACGACACTTATTTTGAAACGAATTTTTTCCACTAGAGTGACAATTAATTTGAAACGGAGGGAGTATGATTTATGTTTCAAAATTAATTATAAATGATAACTCACATAGCATAATATATTAAAAATATGTTATGAGAATGTTTTACTTGATTTATATTTATTTATATTTTCTATCCTAATTTTTCTTTCTATAAAATAAAATATACTTTAAAGATAACAATGTAATACACAAAAGTATCTTACTTTATAAAAATATAATATTATTAATGAATTATTTTATTATATAATAAATTATTAAAAATATGAAAAATAAATAAAATTATCTAATTCATGAAAAAAATTACAACTCAAAAAATTCACCTAAATTTTATAATAGATAATACAGTTTCTAGATAACAAACTACCACATAAGAATTATCTTATTTTCAA